AACATTAGTCAATTGAATGTAAGCTCTATATCCCAATTGGATAGTATGGCATTCTAGAGCTCCATTCTACATGAGTGAAAGATGAGAATTAATAATCGATAAAATATCACCCTACTCTTTCAAAATATAGAGACTAGCTAGGAAAAAAATGTAACATACGAGTAGGTTCTACATAATAATTGTAAGAATTTAGAACCATAATTAAGGGAAGATTTAGGGAATTCGTTAAAATTTTCATTTACATGTAATGTTATATTTGTAATTTATTATGCTTTTGTTGCTACTATAATGTATATATGAATAGTCAAAAGAAATGTAAAAGAAGAATTAGTTCAAAATGAATTGTAGGAGACTCTGGTCTTGAAGAAGACAATACAAATATTAAAGCGATTTGAAGCAGTTCTTAGGGTTAAGAGAAAGTCCTCAATTGAGTCAATGCTCAATTTAAAATAGCTGCCAAACTAAAATGCTCATAATTCTAAATAACAAGTCAAGGGATATCTCAACCAAGCTAACACATCAAGGACTGGTAAAACTTCATCAAATACGCCCAAAAAGAGAACCAAACCAAGGAAACCCATGAACAAGAAGATGAATATAACCGACAAGGTTATAAATAATTTGAAGAACTATCATTAGCCTACAACACAACCTGTCAGGCTTGCTGATTTCATGAGTGGACTCCAGATTGTTAAGATCTAAGAAGAAGATGATGAAGGGGAGGAAATTGAAAAATTCCTTCAATTGAAATATGTCAAGTCATTTTAGTGACATCAAATACTTGTTGGCAAACTTCTTATTGAACCAATAACAGAAGTTGAGCAATAATGGCTCCAATAAATGTGAATTTCCAAAGAAAGGTTAAATGAACTACCTCAGCAAAAAGATGACTCCCTAATAAAGTGATATTCAGTTCATGTCCGATAGTCTTGCAAATAGATGATAACTCAAAAAATGTTGTGCTTTCCTAATGAGAGTTAGCCAAAATCCAGTGGCATTAAGGTTATCTCGTATCAAGTTAGATGGTGATTCTAAAATTTCCAACCAATCTTTTGAGATAATAGAGGATGGCTCTAAAGGAGTCATTTCATTATAGGAATTTGATTTAAATGAAATGATCCAAGTAAAATTGAGAAGTGGTAGAGTATTACCACCTCCATTAAAGTCAAAATTATCAAATAAAGACAGAAAAAATACATCATGATTAATGAAAAAATTATTCTCAAATATCCCAAAAAAAGTCTACTTCATGCAAAAGAGTAAACTATAATATCTTTTCCATTTGTAAAGATTCCTACACATCTCAACATGTATGAAGCTCTTCTGATATTAGAAGACCTTGTAAAACTTTGATTTAGGCTGTTAAAAATCTGAAGAGAGAAATATATTTCACCGAATTTTATCTAACTAAAGTTTTGTAATCCCAAAATGAGCTAATCCTCAGCTTCTCTAATGATTATCTCTTGTTTAGGAAAATGAAGCATAACGCCCTTTATATGTCACAACTAAGAGTAATGACATCATAATAAGTTGAATTTTGATTTACAAAGTTCATCACTAAATCTTACAAACCCAAGATTAGAATGGATTAACTGTAAGAAGTCAATTTAGGAATGGAAGAATATTCTTGACCAACTTTCATCAATGGTGTCCTAGCTAAGGATAAAATTGAGAAAATGAAGGTGATACTTATTGAATTTAATAATTACTTTGTTTGGGCATATGCAGGCATGCCAAGCTTATCCTTTGATGTGACTGCTCATGATTAGCTATCAACCCTAATGCAATACTTGTTAAACAAGCTCTAAATTGAATGAGAATAAGATAAAAAAAGGTGATTGCATAAATGAAAAATCTTATTAAAGCAGCCTTTATTTAAGAAGAAAAATACATCTATTTAATAACTAATCATATATATACACATGAAGAGGAAGAAAAATCAAATACACATCTATATTGCCTTTACCTAAATAAGGCGATATCCAAAAGATGTCTTTTCACTCTCAATGTAAGAATTTTTAGCTAATAATACTTTCATCTGTAATATAATTTCTTTAATGGACGAATCATATGATTCTAATCAAATTAAGATGACTTCGGAAGATGAAAATCATATATCATTCAGGACATTTATTGGTGCACTTTATTATACAATCATTCCCTTCAGTTTGAACAAAACTATAACTACATACCAATGGGCTATGACGTGCATGTTTAATGACTTAATCAATCAGAAGATGTAGTACTATATCAATGATCTTGTCATTAAGATCAAAGATAAAAAATATCAACTCAATAGTCTTAGAATTATATTTAAGGGGATTAGAAAATTTGACTTCAGAATGAGCTTTCTCAAATGTGTTTTTAGGATTTCGTAAAGAAAGTTTTTGGGTGCCCTATACACCTCAAAGGAATTGAAATTGACCCTAACAAAATCAATTCATTCATCGAAATACCCCCTATGCCAGCTTCATTCTTTCCAAGAACATCTTGTGTTCTTTAAAATAATAATAATATTATTAATATTAATAAACTATCCATATCCATATCCTTTCTGACATCCTTATCCCTATTTCCCAATTGTATTATAAAAGTAATAATAATAATTGTTGCGTCATGAAAAATCTGTGGCGATAGAGAGATATAGATTTTGGCATCTTAGCTTTATATGAAAATCCAGCACACAAACATATATAAAATAGTAGGGGTGTAGCATTTAAAAGAGACACCAAAATTTTAAAAGAAAATCCTAAAAAGGGAAAAAACTATGAGGTATGGCCCAATTTGAATGAATCCACTACTATTGATGGTTGCTTACAAATAACAACCCTCCTCAGAGGAGAGTGTTGGCTTAATATAGTAAATACACATTGTATATAGCTCATTACATGGTAATTGTTCTTAAAAGAGTATTACCATGTCTGTTTGATCAGTAGGATTATAGTCGACAGGTGAAGGTGATCGGAGGGACCGCATTCAACAAGTAATGGTGGTTAAAGGGACCGTAGTCGGAATACAACGGTGGTCGGGAAGGACAATAGTTGACGGGTGACAGAGGTCAGAGGGACTATAGTCAGTGGGTGACGGTGGTCGAAGGGACGGTAGTCGGCAGGAGCTAGAGGTCGGAGGGATCATAATCGACGGGCGATGGAGATCAGAGTGGACTGTAGTCGGTGGTTGATTATGATCTGAGTAGATCATAGTTGGCTAGCGACAGAGATCGAAGTGGACCACAATCAGCAGGAGATGGAGTTAAGAAGGACCGTAGTTAAGCGGCGGAGGTCAGAAGGGCAGTAATCAGGTAACGGAGGTTGAAAGGATCGTAGTCGGGCAACGGTAGTTGAAAGGATCGTAGTCGGACCATAGAGGTCAAAAGGACCATAGTCGGATAACAGAGGTCAAAAGGACAGTAGTCGTGCAACTGAGATTGAAAGGATCGTAGTCAAGCGATGATAGTATAAAGGAACGTAGTCTAGTGACGGAGGTCGAAAAGACCGTAGTCATTGGGTGACAATGGTCAGAAAAACCGTAGTTGAGTGACGATGACTGAAATAATCATACTCGGACAATGGTTGAAAGGACCGTAGTTGGGGGACGAATGTCAAAAAGACCGTAATAGGGTGGTAGTGATCGTAGTCATCCATTTTTTCCTGCATTATGAGTATGGGTGAAGGAGAGAGTGTACTTAACAAATATAGTATTCTGCATTCACGTTGATCCCCATTAATTTCCCAGCAAAAATTATCAAAACATTTTCACTAATTTGTGTTCATGCAAGCTACACTTACTATATACTTAAATATAAAATTATTGCAGTGACATTAGGAGATCTATGAACTGCATGCTACTATGGAGAGGCAAGCTAGGCTAAATAATGGCATGTTAGGCTACTAATTAAGTTATATTAATTTATTCATTTGGTAAGCACATTATTCGTTTTAGCTGCTACAAGTGAAGGCTGCATGCATGCTATAGCTGCTGCCATCTTACATTGCTATTGTTGTCATTTGTCAGTCACATCATCCATTGACTTTGGCTATGTTGCAAACTGCCTCTATTGGAATAACTACTCAATTTATTGAGCTGTATCAATACATCATCATCATCAGTAATCTTATAAACAAGTGACACCATGCGCATCATCTTATAGTGTACATAAATAATATCTTGATACTCATTATAAACCTCCCATGAAAGTTTTTCATTTGAAAGCAAGTGAGCAAGTTAAAGCAACATAAATCAAACAACTAAAACATTCATTTCACAAACTTCAATTGAGGCCTAAATCATTTTGGCAATATCATTATTTGCCCAATCTATCTTCAGGATATTGTGTGAAGTGTCATTCTTTACTAGTTTTATTTAATTTGTGAGCAAGCTTTCATTGTACACAGCAATCTTAAAAAAGTTTGAGAAACTATGAGCATAATAGCAGGCGACTTTTCTAATCACTTTCAAAGTCTGAGAAAACTATGGTTAAAAAATTTGGATGTAAGAAAATGGGTTTATTTAAGCCAATATAGAATTAGTTGTTGGGATTGTACTCGCCCATCTTGGGTTGCATTTGCTCGGAAGGGAGTATGTTGGTATATGGCTTCTTCGTCCTATTAAAGAGGTTTTTAATTTATTTCCTCTAGAGAGAGAGAGAGAGAGAGAGAATAATGAAAAACCATTCCCGAACTCTGGACTGGGTTGATAAGCTCGCAGAAGGAAGACTACAATAAGCATGGTTGGCATTCAGGTTGATTTCTTGCTCTCCACTTTTGAGTTCAAATTAGCTATCAAATGTTTCTAAGCTTGAGCTCACTAATTTGGAGGTTATACCCCAGCATTCATATCACTTGCATCATTTCTTAGATATAACCCGATTACCACTTCTCTAACAATGCCACATTTGACCCAAAAAAAATTCACAAAGAATAATTTTTATTTTAATTCACTTGCACAAAATTATAACGGATATACAATCTTACTCCTTAATTTAGCTTCAAATAACTGTGTGCAAAAAACAAGAAAATCACATTTAATATATGCATTTACTTAGGAATTTTATTTCTAAATTGCCACACTGAATCTCTAACAAACTTTACAAACTATAACAATGAAAGATTACATATACAAACCATAAAAGTTATACAATTACTCTTCTATCACTTAAGAGAAATGGTGGGTTTTCACTCACCAGCAATAGCAACAGCAACAGCAATAGCAACAGCAGCAGCAACAGCAACAGCAACAGCAACAGCAACAGCAGCTGGAATATCTCATTTATTTCAAGTGGCCTTATATTTCTACTCTGTTTGACAAACGGTAACAGAGTTGTTCAGATCAACTTTTATAATTTTTTTCTCTGATTACACCCTCTGTTGATTATTTTCTGAAGAGCTTTCTTAGCCTCCTCCAAAGTCCCAACACCATGCTCCACTTCAAATGACAACCTCTGAATGTTAAACTGCATTAATGAAAAAGTTCAGTAATAAATCCAAAAGTAATTTCTTTTCCTGATTCGAAAGTCTCTTGTTCAAAATATGAAATGAAATATCCATAAAAAAAATTAAATAAAAAAAAATTAAAGCAGAACAACGATCAACATCCGATCCTCGTGCAATAAAGTTTATGAACATTGAATAACATAGTGATAGAACCAAGCCACAATTGTGAGCCATGGTGAATCAAAAAGGAGCTCAGGATGGCTCTTTCTCGGGATCCCCAAGATTTGAGAAAAACTTGATGTCACTAAATATAATAAGAAAGTTGTACACATAAAATTTCTCCTCTCTCTTAAAATCATGGTTCTGTGACCACCTAGTCAGCTTCCAAGGATTTGGGATTTCTCTTTTAGGGGTCGTTTGGTTGCAAGTATTATGAGCAGAGTAAAAGAAATATAAAGTTCTTGATTGTTTTTGTGGTTGATTTGAAGTAAATTGAATACAAAGCATTTGTGTATGAAATTTAGAATACCACATAACGTTTATTTTTTATGATTTTGAAATTCATTTAAATTGAGTAAAATCTAAATTTAAGGAAAACTCATAAACTGCAACCTCATCTTCCCCAATGCCCATCGCCATTGTTCACCATTTATATCCTTCGCCATCAACACCTATCATTGGCCGCCACAGCCTACCGCCTTTCTTCCACCATCAACGCCATCACCTATGGGCAATCGATCGCCACCATTCGTCGTATTTAAATACATTTGAAATGTGTCGTAATAAATACAAAAAGTATATTTCAATGTATTTTATTTGCCTAAAATACATGAGTTTTAGAAACATCCAATCAAAAAGCCCCTTGATGAAACATTATAGAGCACCCAATGATCAGCATACTTGCCAAAAAAAATTGCATACATAAGTTCATACATATAAGCGTTTGCAATAATTTTATATGTCAAATGCATGTGCATGTTAAGAGAAACACACAAATATACCCAATTCGCCATATTCAAGCCAAATCAAATGTTCCAAAGAATTCATATATTTCCATATTTGTATTGCGTATATGCTTCATATCTTCCCTTTAACCAAGTGAGAAAACAGTAAAATACACTCTCTTATGTTGACAATAGCTTCTGGAATTTCCAATATTAGATTGCTTAGACCTACTCATGTTCACTGGCTAGGCCTACCGTACTTGAGCAAGGGGATAACACAGATTTAATGACCCAAACCACCAAACGCTCTCTAATCACCACTTCCTAAAAACGAAAATGGAGTACAATGTAGAGCTAGATTATTTTTACATTAGAAGTTACCTGAGCACCCTGTCGAACCCGAATATCTGTACCCTTGCTGTCTACTGATATGAGAGCTGCATCATCTATCTCTCCTTCAGTAGATAAGATTTCTCTAAGCGGCTTCGAGAAGATTGCGTTAAGTTCCTACAGCAACAAAAAAATCAGCAGCAAAATGTATTAGACAATTTATGCAGTCATCATCTATTTCTCTTAGCCCTTAAAGAGAGGAATTACTAGCCATCTTAATTACTCAAGCTCCACTAACTTGAAACAAGGTATAGCTAGATTTTACTAAGAAAAAGTAGCATTCATGTACAAACTTTCAAGTTTTGCTCTCCACCATCAACAGCAATCTTGTCAGGTTGAAGGCTTTCATACTCCTTGACATCGATCCACTGGACAGTTCCAAATCCTCCAATGAAATATACATCGCTGATGAAAGTATCAAATAATAGTTAGGAAGGACAAATATAAAGTTATAGACTTTTAGCTAATAGAGTGAGAGAGAAAGTTGCAAGTCTGAAGCCCGAGATAAGAAATAGAAAGCAGATGATAAACAAGAAGCGTGAATATATGATGCCAATAAGCTTAAGCACCTCCTCAAAATTATTAGCACTTAAACTGTTGATTATGAAACATAAATGCAGGTCTGACAATACATCCGAGTAAAGTTATGGCTGCATAAATATTAAGACACAAGACAGTAAACTCTGATGATACCATGGTAAATTGAAATGCTTCGTCTTGAAGTTAAATGATCACAGCCAAATCAAAATATGTGAAAGCCGCTCAGACCTTTACAAGAGTAAATTTTTGCTGAACAAAAAAAATATTTTATGATGAACATGTCATGCAACAAGCCATCTTCATACAAAACTGTTGATCTATAGGCACGAGAGCTCTACAGCATCAATATCATCTTTTTTTTTTTTGGCTAAATCCCAAGGGGGAAAGGATGCAGCTGACAGCAACATAGCCTTGATGAACCATTTGTTTGTATGGTTAGTTTCACTTTTTCCTGATATGGCCCTGATAATGGAAAGATACAAAGAAAGTAAATTGCTAAAAGTGGGACCATAATCCATCCAGCTTTTGTTTTTCACTACAATAAGGTGGGCCATGAGAAGTGCTTCCACAAAGGCTCTTAATGCAAGTTAATCAACATGCTTCTACAATAGTTGCATTTCAAATAAATGAACATATTCTCACTCCCAAAAATTTACACTTGAGCACAGTACTTCTATTGTGAATCTTTTTTATTTCCCATTAAACTATTTCCGGAGCCTGAAAACCATTTTCAAAACGGAGAAAACCTCAAAAAAAAATAGAGAATAAGAAATATAAAATATCAAAGAAAACAAAAACAGAAGAGTGTTGCTAGCAAAGAGATCTAGTAAATTGGTTTTTTATTGCATGCTTACATCGTTGGTCTCCCAATTAGCTATCTTCCCATCACTTACTGGGGTCTCCTATTGTCTTCCTCGGGTTAAACTCTACTATCTTCCAAACTTTGATTGATAAGATTCATAAAATAATTTTTGGCTGGAGAGGCTAATTAATCTGTCCTTGGCTGGTAGTTCTATTTGCCATATTTAAATTAAGAACTTACAGCCTTTTCCATCCCAAAGTCTATCATGCAGTAAATATACTCCATAGGTTGTAGATTTCTCCGCTTGATAGGCTCTCATAAGAAGATGAGAACCATTGCCTGGATACGATTTGTCTGCCTAAGAAGTTGGAAGGTTGAGTTATGCTAGCACTATCCTTATTAACAACATTATTAGCCATAAGCTGACATGGCACGCCATTACTATTGATGAGTTTTGAGGTAACTGGAAAAGGGAGAGAATGTAGAAGACTGAATAAAGTAGACATGGTGAGAATGGGGAAGGAGATGAACCGAACTCAATCTCAGAGACGAGTATGCGACCATACCCTTAAGCATTTTCTTTTCAATTGTAAAATGCTATCCATTCAAGTCCCAAAGAAATCAATTTATGCGAGACATGACATCCAGGAGTAGAATGTCTAATAATTCTTAGGCCATCCAAAAACAAGTGTAATACCTAATTAACTCCAAGGCTCAGACAAAGTTAAAATATTAAACAGACTCAAACACATAAATAAGATAAATAATCTAATTGTCTAGAATCATCTTCATCAGGTTGGTAATATTTGATCTCATTTGTGGGTATCATATCTTATTTGAGGTGTAACTTGAGGTGATGATCAATCTACACCCAAACTATAAGCGGCCAAAATTTTAGGTAACTAACGTTCTCTTTTTTTCTTTTTTTTTTTCAAAACCAATCCATTTCAATCACAACCTACCACTACTCCTAAATCTAGCATAAAATTTCATATCACATGTGGTCAAATATAAACCATTTTCTTGTGTCACGAAGCCTGTATTGGAAAAATTATTACATCCGATGAAAATACCGAGCAATACCGAGCATACCGAGTGTACCGAGCGCGCTGTACCAAACACGGTACCGAGCACTTTAGTGACGTGGCGTTTTGTTATTGGTTTCCGGATGCATTCGGTAACATGACGGAATAATTACTCCCTGTATTGACCTAGAAAGCAAGAGACTTATAATAGATGCTTGAATACGCACCCAAAGCCCAAAACGCTCCAACTAAAACTCATAAATAGTGTGGAATACAAAATACTGTGAATTAGCAAGGAGAAAAGTGGATTCTTAAAACACATGATCCTTCTCCGTGAGCAAACAATAAAAACCACCCATCAACTGATTGGGTATGATATTAAAGGCAATAAATAATTTGAAATTCAGAGTGATTTCTACAAGGAATAACATTCTAAAATAGATTTATTTCTTAAGGTTAAGATCAACCTTTTCTTAGGAGTTCAATTGGCAAACATTTCTAAGTAATTGTTTTTTTAATTATTTTCAAGGATCATAATTTTATCTTTTTTTAGTACAAGAAAAAACTGTTTAAAATATGATCTTTAAAAGTTAAAAAACATAAACATGATCTGTTAAACCTTTTTAAAACCATATTTTATTATTCTCTCATATGAAAAAAAAATTATATGCTATAAAACAAGGATGAATTTTACAACCAATCTCATATGTAGCCATTAGAACGTTTTATTACTGGCTTTATCAATAAGCAAGCAAATAAAAAACATTACTAGAGCATAATTTGTCTTAACTTTAAAAGGATAAGATATAAATTAAAAAGTAAATGAGAAAAGGACCAAAACGGTCCATTGACTTTTTATGAAGGGACAAAATGATCCCCAACTATAACAAATAATCATTTTGGACCCTCAAATCTTTAAAAAAGGAATAAAAAATCAAAAAACGATCAAAATAGTCTCATGGTGAGACTATTTTGATTTCTCTTTAAAGAGTTGAGGGATCAAAATGATCATTTAATATAATTGGAGACTATTATGATCTTTCATAAAGAGTTAAAGGACCATTTGATCCTTTTCTCAAAATTAAATGAACAGTGTACTACTATATTTTTGTTTTACGCACAAAAAACCTTAAAATTATAGTTCAAGCTGAACAATGGAACTAAAACAAAAAACAAAACTGAACATGAAAAGAGGAGTCTAAAATAAATTTTTAAGTTCTTAGTATCCACATTGTTGGAGCTGCGTATCAACTGTCTTTAAAATTGGCCAAGTCAGACACCATAAGTCAAGTTCATGAATTTCTTCCTCAAGGATCTACAAGCAGCCAAATGACTTCTCCCATGATAATGTTGTTGCAATTCACACCATTGCTGTCATTCACATTCCAAGTATCTGAGGCTAACTTAATGAATCCTCAATTGTCACTCATTCCGATTGAATATTGTCTAATGTGCTAAAGTTATTTTGTGCAAACTTTTTTGCATAAATTCTAGCCAAATTATCTATAGTCTATTTCCCTTCTACCTACACACAAATTTTATCTCATCATCATAATCATCACTTATCTTATCCCAATTATTTGTAGTAGGCTTAAATGACCATCATTACCCGTTTATTCTTATTTTATGCTTTCACGTTAATTTTATCCGGCCTTCATAAAACTTGAAAATTTATGAGAAAAGGATCTGGGTTAAAACTTCATTCATGTATTCTTGTCTAACGTCATGGGTCAAAATCTTTTCAGTATTTCTCTGAACACCCAATCTGCCATTAAGGAAGGTCCAAATGGCAAATACTGTGCCAATTGGAAAAGACCTTCCTCACTAACATGGGGCTGATTGAACGGACATACCATGTATTCTAGTAACAATCGCAAAACCTATTTTCAAAACAAGCATTTGAATTGACATTTAAGATTTGCACCCAATGTTTAAAATTGTGTAATCGGGTATTGAGGCATTTTTCATTCGTCAGGCGAGGCATAAGCCTCAAGGCGTTTTGAGGCGTAAGCCTCAAAATCAAAAAATTGCGTAAATATAAAATGATAAATTTTTTATGTACTAATGAGTAAAAAATATAAAACATAAAAATACATAAGATATGGAGTGAAATCAAAATATCCCACTAATAAGACAATATGAAATATAGTTCAACTCAAATTCTTTCTTTCCCAAATCATAGTATGATTTAGAGGCGCTTTTTGTATTTGAAGAGTTCAATGAATAGTTTTATTTTTGTTAAGAAGAATGACTAGTTAATTTTATTTCATGCCCGATCTCGTTCCCGCCTCGTATCTACGAGCTAACCGGGCCGGGTCGTGACAACTGCTCTCTCCCCTTCCTCCTCTCCTATAGAGTCTAATGTCTCTCAATCAGCTCCTTCCTCAATATCAGTTATCTTCCTCTTCCCTAAATATTTTTGAACAATAACAAAATTAATAATAGTGTAATACATTAATAAAAGAAAACTATATTATTTATATACATTTTTGATTTGTTATTGAATTGTAGTGGATGTAGATGTTTTATGACCATCAAAGAAATCAACATTTAAATCTTCATCTTGTAATTCAGGCGGCATCACTTCAACTTCATATCTACAAACCACTCATTATCAGATAGCACATCCCCTTAAAGCAAAGGATCTTCATCATCCATTAATTTTTTTTTTCAAATTCCTGTCTTTGAGTCTCCTATTGTAGATAATGTACACTAATGAATTCATCCTTAATGTAGACAAACGATTTCTCCTCTTTGTATGTATTTGGTTGTAGGTACTCCAATTTCGTTCACAGCCAGATGAAGAATATGTCAAGCCCAAAACTTTCACAACAAAACGTTGCAATTCTGAAGTCTCATCACCAAACTGAATCAACCGCTCAACTAAGATTTATATAAGTGAGTTTAATTAGTGCTCAAAGAATAACTTTTAAATAAATGTTTAAAACATTAAATGAAATTATCTGGAGATCATTTGGCAATTGTATTCTTTGCATGTTGTAATCCAAAAAAGTCTTATTTATTCCTAAAAGGTACCAATTGCATGTTTGTATTTGATCTTTCAGCTGTATCACTTATCGGTCGATCCATGCAATGATATAATCCCAACTTTATTTCAGGATTTGAAGACTTGTTCTCTGCATATTGATACTGAGGATTTAAGTAATAGCCTGCTGCATACAAGTATCGGTGAAGCTGTAGCTCCCACATATCATTAATAATATTTTAAATTTCCCTAAACCTTCCCTCTTCACCTCCTAATTTGCAGGCAATCATTTCTTTAGCTTCATCCATAGCATTGTAGATTAAACCCATTGCAGGCTTCTTCTCTGCGTCAATCATCCTTAAAACTTGAACCAAAGGTCTAATTGTTGTAATGGCGTATAAGACACTTTGCCAAAATTTGTCATTTAAAACAATCTTTCTAACCTCTTTTCCCTCAGTTTTCTTTGCCCAAGCACAACTCAACCACTATGTAGATGTGAACATTGCTTCTAAAGATTGTCTAGCATCCAGCATACTCTCTAAGGTCAAGTAAGCGGTGGCAAATCTTATTGCTGTTGGCCTCATAATTTCTTTTTTTGAACATTTCTTAATAAGAGCTAGAACCCAAAAGTGGTTGTAAATAAACTTAGTTATTTTCTTTGCTTTAGTAAGTGCATTCTTGTGTTGAGGCAGCTCCTCAAGAATCAAATCTATGTAATGTGTAGCACATGGAGTCCAGTACATATGTTTCTCCATAAATGTTTTACCTGCAGCCTTGTAAGCACTTGCATTATCTATCACAACTTGTACAACCAAATATTCTCCAACCTCCACAACAATGCTATCTATATAATTATTTTGATGAATGAAAGAAAATTTATAGATGAATTTTTTAGTATTTGGATATTTTAGTAGCTCTGTAGTTCATCGTTTATTTCAATAAATATCGGCAGAAAATTTGAAATAATTTCAAAACAAGATATTAGGGTTTGTTATCACAGCTCAACACAATAAGAACTATCCTGGTCGGGTTGGGTTGTGACAACTCCAACCCAACTCGCGATAGAAGAGAACTTTAAGCAATTAGACGAGCAACTCACGGTGGAAGGAAGCCGACGCTGGTCGAATGGAAGAAACTCATGAAGAGGGGAAAATGTCACTCGAAGAAGAAGGGAGAAGAAACCTAGTTTCGGTTCGGAAATGATCGAAGACGCACGGGGGTGGGGGGCCAAACCGAATAGATATATACTAGGTTAGGATTTTTTTTAATTATAAAAGGCGGACGGCTCTAAAATATGAGGCGAGGCACGCCTCAATGTCAGCTCTCATTGCGTAGGCTTTGAGGCTTAAAAATTTGAAATTACGTTGAGGCGCCTCTTATTGCACAATTTTTTACCATGTCTGCACCAACTGATTTTAACTAGTAACTTGAATGACATCAATATTTTAAACAGTGATTTTAAATGCTGTATTTTTTTGGTTTCAGCACATAAAATATATTTTAATATTTTAAAACTTTTGATGAAGCAAACCAAGCTTGTGCAAAGAGATTGGCTATACATGACATAAATGCAGAAATTTTGATCGAAAATTTTAAAATTACAAAAAAGCCACCCTTCACTTTTCTACCAGCCAAGCATCCAGATAAACATGAGGATAAAATGGACTTTCTTAGAAATTTGGAAAAAAAAATTTCGGCACGCTTTAAACATATTTAATCTTTTGCTTTGTAAAGCATATGCAACAAAAGAGGTTAAGATGCACCCATAACGGTTACTTCACTGTTATACTGGATAAAAGGGAACATTCTACATAAGGAACTCAAGTAGCATACCTTATGGTATCCATCCTGCAATAATAAAAGTTCCCCCATTGTTGAGATGCCCACTGTTGGTGTTTTGAAATGAATTGTTGACGAGCCCATTCCTGAAGTATGTGATAATATTGTTATATATATGTTAAGGAATATCTACCAAGGAACATCATAACAACCAATTGTCTATATAGTTTAAATGAAATTGACATGGAACATGTTATTTCAACTCAACATTAAGTACTTTAAGACTCAAGCCACAATGCCTACACTAACAGGCAGGGATCTTATTCATATTTAGCCTTTGCATGTAAGATTTTCATTTCCAGCATTTACAATCTTTAATATATGCCTAATCACTGCAGGTTGGCTTGGAAGTCCAACTTACATTGTTTATTTAGGCATATGATGATTTACTCTTCTTTTAGGAAAGCAAACCCATCACTTGTGTATAAAAGATTGGACTTTAAAAACTAGCAGACTATGGGCTTGTCCACCTTACCAACATATATAGAGAATCAAGCTTCAAATTTATCGGCTTCTCAACTCTACTCATTAAAAGTAAAGGATCAATATTAAGATGATTATGAGCTTAAGCCATGTCTACTCTAACTTCATTTGTAGAGGATCGAGCCTTAAAATATTTATTGGCTTAACCTTGTTAACTATAACTTTTGAAAGTAAAGAATCGAGCTTTAGATAATTTTTCAACTAAAAGCATGCCTATTATATCCATTTATGTAGATAATTGAGCCTTGAAATCAGTGCAAAGTGTTTTTAGATTTATATCTTCTCATGTTTGCACCCTTTATAAGGCATCTCATCTTTTGTAGTAAAATCGGATTTTTGCATGTTTTAACTTTTCTTTTAGCGTCACAACATTCCTTTTTATTTCAAAATTTTGGAGATGTTTTGACAAAGCTTCTATGTCACCCTCATAAGTGGATAGCTAAAATAATTCATGTAACCATGCAAATAAAAACATTTCAGATGTAGCACATGGGACAGCACAAACTAAAATTGTATCCCATGACACCAATAAAAGTGTTTAAAGGCACTTGTGCAAGGTGTTTTGTGCGTGAATGTATACTAAAATATACCCAAAAATGTATTCTTATCCCATCAAATGACAAATGGGTTGCATAGTCTTCCCTTCATTTAATGCTCGTTGCGCAAGGCCCATGCGAGCAAGCAAAACTGCGAGTGAGAGGGAGACAAGAAAAGGAGAAGTGTACGCTCGAGTAGGGAGAACTTGGTTGGAATGAAGAATTATGTAAGATGAGTAAGGAAAGAAGAAAAAAAATACGATGGAAAGGTTTTTTATAACTTTTTTTTTTTGGAAAAAATGGGGAGGAAGAGGGTTGGCTACCTCATTTTAATAGTGTGCAAGCGCCTTTTTATTACTCCTTTTTGAATTTATTTATTTAAAGGGTCAAGCAAGGCTTCTGTTTCCCCCCAATAAATATTTTTTATTTTTTAAATTCATATATTAAATTTGTACATGATATAGAATTCTTATATCATGTGCTTTATGTAGTAGCAAACTTCAAGAAATATTGACCCATTCTAGCTTTATCGAAGACTCCCATAAATTTAATATATCTTTTGCCCCATGCTTTCTAGTATGGCAGACTTTAACAAGGATAAACCTTATTTAGTTTCACCAAACTCTTGAGTATGATTAGCATTCCTTATGCCCTATATTTTATGCTTTACCATCCTTGTTGAAGAATAAACTCGATCTAGCTCTATCAATAATATAGTAAAACTAACATGCCTTTTGGAGAAGGATTTGCCATTTTGCCTCAATGACCCATCCTTCATGCTTAAGTTGGCTCAGTAGAGAAGGTTTGTGAGTTCAATTCCTAGCACCAATGGAAGTATCCACTAAATGATTCATCATGCTTAGGGTTGTCAATATTTGACCCGACCGGAACCCGATCAGAAAATTTTGAGTTCGGGTCAACCAGAACCGGGTTGGGTTCGGGTTGACCTGAAACCCAAAATCAATCCGGTTTAACCCATTTTTAATTGATTTTGGAGGGTTTTAAAATATTATTAGGAAATACATAAATGCTATTTCCCAAAAATAATAAACGATTTTGCCCAAACTGAATTAAGTTTGGTTTATTTTAAATTGATTGAAGTAAATCTTACCTTAATTCAATTTAGGTTTAAATAAATCGAATTAAATTAAAACAAATTAGTAAAACATACCCAAAACGGGTCGGGTTCGGGCCCGAAAAACTAACTCGTTTGCAAAAACGTGTCAGGTTCGGGTCAAGTCGAATAGTTTCGGGTTGGACACAACCAAGAACCCGGTTTTGACATCCCTAATCATGCTCTCGAAATGAACTTCAAGATCTATCCTTCCATTCTATGCTTTATTTGCTTAAGAAGACATATACATTGCTTCAATCTTTGATTGATGCTTGTAGATTTATTGAAAGAAATCAAGATTGTGATTTAACCTCTAAAGGATGCCCAGCTCAGCTTGTTGCTTTCATAAGGAAAATTTCCTCAATTCTGCCTTAATGTGCTAACATAAAAAGAAGGCCTTTTAAATATGGTCTATTTGAACTTGTCAAATCAAAAAAGTTTGAAACTTTAAATATTAAGTAGACACCCTCTAACTATAGGTGTTCTTTGACTTAGTAAGTAATGAGTTATCAGCAACTTGGTCATATTTGAGTTTATTAAATCTGCCCTTCATAACAGTTATAGTCTTAGATTTGAGCAAAGAAGAACTTGCACTTTTCCAGCATGGTTGACTGAAACTTGCAAACTTGAAGAACTTTTTTTATTTTGAAAATCTTTGTGAGCCAAAAATTCTACTCATTTGGTCATTTAGGTTGAAGTTACTTCATGAGCGTTTATGTTCAATCTAAACCTTTTTATCATGCAAGTTTTACCTCTTGATATATTTATAAAGGGTTTGTATAAAGCATTCTATTTTTTATGAGATTTGTATTAAAAATCCTAGCAAAAAATATGGTATCAACCTAATTAGGTATAGTTTTATTGGGGATCTTAGCATGAGGCACAAAGAACAATATCAACCCTATACATATAACTTTTATATTTGTGCATGTAGGAGTGCCCTTTTTCATCATCCTTTTATTTATACTTTTTTAATCTTCTTTTTTCAGTCAAAGGTAGCTTGCTTTCTTCTAACTTTTGGTCAAATCTAAACGGGCATTTTTGACGGGGAGACTAATTGAAATATAAACCCAATCATAATTGTATTGACATGCAAGTGCAATTTTTGGTAGGAATTATGGCATGAAGCATGGTGTCAACATATGTAAATGAGGATCTACCACATATCTAGAAGTAGAAGAAGATGTTGACCTAAGTAAATACCATCTTTCAAGTGATCTCAATGCTAAGCATCATGTCGGCCCAGATAAACATGTTACTTGGCTGACAACATACTATTTTCAGATGGATGGGTAGGCGTGCATGTGTGTGTAATGCCTCAGTCTTGTGAGAATTTTTGGGGGCATTTCTTGGTCATTTTTCTTCTTTCCTTCTTCCTTTTGTTTTCTTAGGTCAAGTAATATCAGCATGCAATTCAATGTCAATCAAATCAAGTATAATTTCATTGGAGATCAACGATGCACGGACACAGACATGACATGGACATGGAACACAGCTTTTTTTTTTTTGAAAATATAGGACACAGGTACGGCGTGGACATAGCATTATATTTTTTTATATAGTGTATAGATATTAATGTAACATCATATTAGAAATGACAAATGATAATAAATGAATGGCATGATAACTTGTCTAGCTTATAATATAAAATGTTTAGTACAAAATGTCTAGTACAACCATAAAAATATAAACAAATAACCATTTACTACAACATCAAGCATTCAAGCTTCAGCTACTAAGATTAGCTTCAAATGTTTGTTTTTTTCCCTTCAATATAATCATCATTGAATATCATTGCTTCCAACTCTAGTTTATCAAGAGAAATATTTGCAATAGTTCATTGGATATTTTATAATAAAAGTTGGTTCTTCATTGTATCTATTTACTTCTCTAGTTCGCTAGTTCTCTCCCAAAATATTTGTTTAACCTCTAATCTAAATGACAAAGAATGTATCTATTTACTTCTATACTTCTCTAGTTCTCTAGTGCATTCCCATAATAGTTAATTAGATATCAAATATTAATTTTTATTCTATTAATATTAAATCTTTTATAGTCTAAACATGTTTTATATCATTCTAACTTTTCACATATTTCAACAAATCTCATCAACTAGAATTACAATAAGGCATGCACATAAAGATCTTCCAAACATAATCAAAATTCTTCTTATTCCATGTCACTAAAAATTGCAAACACAAGTAGGCATAAAGGTTTTCAATAATCATTATTACCCCTTAAAAAAAATGATTCATTCTCTAATAATCATGCCTTTCAATAAGTGTATTGATGCATATACGAGCGAATGCGATGTTTTATTTGATTTAGTAAATATTAAAATTTTATAATTTAAAATAATTTTATCATCAAAAATTAGGGCATGCGTGCCCCAGCCGTGTCCGACAAGTGTCCCAGCCCTATCGGATTAAATTTAAACATTATTTTAATCGGACACGTGTATGCCGTGTCGAGCACTACATTCCCTCTTCAAGAGGTGTGTCGGTGCATCATAGTTGGAGATATTAGATGAGGCATAATGTCAACCAAAGCATGCATAGTCTCATTTGAGACCTCCGCATGAGACAAAATGTCAACCAAACTAGCATAGGTTCGTCATCAAGAACCCGAACAGAAGGGGAGCAATTTAGGTGAAGACTTAGGTATAGCCCGTGGCATTATTTGAGGCCAACTACACATGAGTCACTATTCTTTTTTTTTCGAACAGGAGGTCATATGCATGATTGGGAAATTATTCATCACAAGACCACCCCCTGGCCCCCTCCTCCAAAATAAGTGATTTTCTTTATGGAAAATCCTAGGTCAAACCTCCATTTTTTTGCTTCTAATTTAAGATGTTTGAGTTGTGCCCACCGTTTGTCAGAATCCTTATTTAATGACAACCTTTTTTGGCGTCTTTTGACTTGTTGACAAAAGAGGGTTGTTCGCAACTTGGCCATATTTGGACTTATAGAGTCCAACTTTATTTATCTCGCTTGACCCTAAGCTAAGGAGACGGATTATATTATATTTTTAGTTTGACTTAAAGAAATTTCATGAACCTAAAGTCTTGTTCATTGGATGGCAAAGTCTTTAATGAGTTGAGGACACTATCTGCTAGCTCTTATGCTTCCTATTTGTTTCTTCTTCTTTTTTTACGTAGACTTAGAGATCCCTGATATAAAATTTAAATGGCATTTACTGGATTCTCTATAATAGGACTCTTTCTAATTTTTTATAATTGGATCCATGCCCTCCATGAGGATTATTGGATGACCATAATTGAAATCTGTAAAATGTTGATTGCATTAGGGGGTTATGGGGCAACTAAGGATAAGCCCCAAAAAATTATGCATTCCAGTGTAGTGAGTCATTTGAATCTATCTTTCTCTTTTATCATCGAAAGGGAATTATTGAGGTAGTTTCTGGCTTGAACAGCTCAATTTGGAAGAATTTAAAACTTGGGTCCTTTCTCTAGACAAGTATGATGCCGTTTTCTAGAAACTTCAGAGTTCAGAGTGACAGCCACTGCTTGAGGTCAACAAGCAACTCAACATTGCAGTATAACCAAGGCAATATTCTACAAACTGTTCATTCCTTAAATATGATAAGATAACCTTGAACAGCTTCCACAAAGTGCTAAACTCAGTTGGGAATTTCAAGATACATGCCATTAGAATGAGTAACCCTATCCTCATGAAAACTAAGCTTAAGATAATCACCTTGATTTTTTATTGATTGATTTTTTATTTTTTTTATAAGTGGAGGTTAGTGCAACTCCATTGAGGATCCTGACATAAAGCAGGTGTCAACTCATATGCGGGTATCTTACATGGAGATTCCAATTGAATGTTTGTTGTCAACCTAGGCAAATAGAGGCCACAAATTAACCTAGAAAAGGAACTTTCAGACCATTGGCAAATAAGCATTTAAGTGGGCTAAAGTCATGGTTTATTGCTCAAGCTTCCCGCGGATTTACGTGCATTTGGGATGCATTTTATGTATTTGATCTAGCTACTTTCACCAGGGATCACAAGGTACCCAAGGCTGAATACTATGGACGTGTCCTACTAGAATTGCATGTAAGATACTCCACTAGCTTTGTTGAGTGCCTCATGGTGGAGAGTGAGGGACAAAAAAATTGTGCCCTACTTCATATTATTCCCTCTTCCTATGGGAATTTGGATCAATAGAACTGAAACTTATTATTGGAGTATGAGGGACAATGTATTTCAAAACCTTGACTAAATGGTCAATTTACTAGGATTTGAAAGTCAGCAAACTTTTGAAGCATTATTTTTTATTGAGAAGCTGAAAATTTTTGAAATTTTGTCCTTTACATATGAGCATAACCACAAAGACTTTTATGCAAATTTCCCAAAGAAAAATAAATCAAATGGAGGAAAAGAAGATAGTGTGGTGTTTTGACCAATCTAGCATTTGTTAAGATTTGGATTACAGATCTAAAAATAGTTCAAATAAGATGTACTACGAAAATAACTGGTTCATCAAATAAAAATAGAAAAGCATCAAACAAAATATGTCATAACATCCAAGATGTATATATTTCCAAAAAAGTAAAATAACAAGTAGAAATGCATTAGTATGATGATAACCTGTTTGTCAACAGGAAGAGGGAAAACATCACCAAATATTGTCACACGAGCATTTGATAGCCCACTCCACCCTGGAATCTACAATTTAAAGCGTGAAATTGAGTCTCGAAGACACAATATGATGTAAATTTCAATTTTGAAACCAAAGAAAAAAAAGATTATTCTTTGGGCATACTTGCACAACAAGAGTGCATCTTGAATCTGCCAATAAGTTCCTGGTGTGGATGGCCAATGGAGAAAGCGAAAAAATAGGATCTAAATAAATGAATAACAGCATTATGTAAATTCAAGCAGTCTAAATAAATGAATAACAGCATTATGTAAATTCAAGCAGAAAGAACTCAGGTCTGCTGAATGAAAATCATAGATAACTTACGGCCTATTGAATCAGCTGCAAAATCGACTAAAGAACCAAATGGATACCCTGCACGGCGGTGATGCATCCGAGACATCACAGTACATAGATGAGCAAACCTGGCCTATTTATTTATATGAAGCGAGATAAGAAGAAAAATTCAAGAAAACAAAAAGGAAAAAAGTACAACATGAAACAATGATGGCATATAAACAACAAGATCCGCATATGACTGATAATGATAGCATCTATATTTAAAAAATAAAATGACTATGAAACATACCTGTTCCATCAGGTTACGAACAGCCAAGGCGGGTGGAGGCAAGTCATGAGCAGATGTTGCACTATGCACACCACCTGAAATTGGTGTCCTGAACAACCCAGCTCTAGATCCAGTTGGGCTTGCACCACTACCAGGTGGTATCGCCTCTTCCTTTCTAGCTGTAGCCATGTCGTCGCTACCAACCTCACAGAAATTTAAAAAAAAAGACTTTCAACTGCTTAGTACAAGAAAGCCGGATGACTTCATAGCAGTTAGTTGTCATTAGATCTGGATAGCACAGCATTAATTGAAGCCTACAAGCTACAATATATTAAGTCAAAATGCAAAACAATATTATCAAAAATATACGATCATGTGCTGGATCGTCACTTATGCCACACTTTTCACGAGAAGCACCTAAATTCAGAAGTTCAGTTGAAATTGTCTCTCTCTTAGCAAGTTCTTATAAAAATTTTAAGGTAAGGTATATATATATATATAACACTTCAAAAGCATATGTCAAGGGAAATTAACTAACTTCTTAAAGATTACGATATGCATCTCATATGATATGAAGCTATTTAATACGAAAGTGCTACATGCATGTGAACTAAATTAGTGTTAGATATTAGTACATTATGAATTAATAATTGAGTAAAAGCTTAAAATAATACCACGACTATTGATAATTGCTCAAATTGGTCCCAGAGTTTTACATTGTCTCAATTTGATCCCTCAACTATTAAAAATTGTCTAATTTTGTCCCTAAGTTAAATTTGCCATTTAAATTGACGAAAAAATCCTTCACTTTTTGTGGGTATTTTAGTAAAATTACATGTTATATGCTCGTCTTCCCGCCATAAGCCCTCAAGACAAAATTGAAGACTGAATTGTGCGAGGGAGAAGTTGAAAGCAAGGCGGCGCACTACAAGTAGGTTGCAAGCGAGATGCACTGTGAGTGAGACGCATTGTGGCGTGCTTCGATTCGACATCCAGAATCTCATGCGGTGAGAGCCAAATGGCGCACCACGAGCAAGACACACTTAGAGCTAGATGATGCGCTTCGACATCCAAATGCCAACTACTACGAACGATCACGATGATCTTCGACATCACGAGATGAAGCGGCGAGCAATGTGCAACATCCACAAGGAGACGAATACACTGCTAGGTTGAATGTTTATCTTTTAAAATCAAGTTTAAACATATTTAGGTTTTGTTGTAAGATTTAACAGGATTATTTAACAAATTGATTTCTAAATGGCAGATTTAACACCATTTTTTTACAAATTTAAACACAGCAAAGTTTTAACACCTCTATTTCACAGTTGTTTATGGTGTTTAACACCAATGTTTGACAAATCTTATCGAATTCACCATTGTTTAACAAATCTTGAGATTTAATTGTCTAGATTAGTTTCTAAACTATAAATTTAATTGAATTATACAAACCTCACACATAAGAGTATTTAGATGTATTAGACTTATTTTATTGTTGAGAAATGAAGTTTATGGTCAAGAAGAGTAACGGTATATTTTGCTTAAAATTCACTATTTATTCACTCTTATCATGTAGCAGATTAAATATGTATCATAGTTTATTAAATGATAAAATTGAGCAATATAAGCGATATATCTCATATCCACTTATAATACCTTAAATACCCTTCATATTTAAATTTAAAGTAAACTTTAACTCTTATTTTAGGCTTTGGAACTAAATTGACTCATTTTTAGTAGTTGATGGACTAATTGGGGCAATGACAAACTTTGGAACAAAATTGAACATTTATCAATAATTGGAGGACTATTTTGAGCTTTTACTCATTAATAATTTTAATATGATAGATCATTTGGGAATGTATAACCAAGAGTATAAAATACATAAATTAGATGGATATATAATTTGAGGTGGAAAATTATGAAGAAAAATAAGTAGAACCAAGGCAATATGATAAAAAAATCTTCAGAATTATTTGTAGATAATAGGCTTAATACAACAAACAAGAATTCATAATCATAATGATAATGATAATAAGATAATAACATTAATACAATCAATAAGAATAAATAAAAATTGAGAATTCATAAAGCCAACCCCAAAAAATTGGGTAAGGCCAATCATAATATTAATCATAGTTTAAAATTGCGCAATTAGAGGCGCGCCTATGCGCAATTCTGGGCAAAATCGCCTCATTGCTTAAGCAATTTTGGTTCCTCATGAGGCGTACGCCTCTTTCACTGTGAGGCGCGCCTCTGAGGCTGAATTGAGCAATTTAGTGTGAGGCGCACGCCTCTAATAACCGGGACCCACACACTTAAGTCTAAATGAAATAAGACTTCTTCCTCCCCTCTCATAGAAGCCTACCCAAAACCGAGCAAGCAAAAATACCCACAGCCCGCAAGCTCTTTAGCACGTTCGCTTGGCCTCCCTTCCCGCCGTCTCTCCCGCCAGCGCCGCCTCACTCCGATAAGCTTGAAGTGTCCAGCCACCCTCTAGGAGAAGTCCACAAATGATTTTTGGTTTTTTTTTTTAGTTCAACAAAAGATTTTTCAAGTGAAAGAAAATCTAGTGTTCGAAGTTTTTTTAGATTTTTTGTTTGTTTTTTGCATTTTTGCACTGCAGAGCCTGCTTGATGTGAGACAACCTCTTGAAGCAATGTTTACATCAACACAATGGCTTAATTTTGCGTGGGGGAAGAAAACTGAGGGGAAGGAAATACAAAGGGTAATTCTAAATGATAAATTTTGGGCTATTGTAACCTATGCTATATTTAGCACGAGACATTTGGTACAAGTTCTACGTTTAGTGGATGCCGCGAAGAAACCAACCATGGGTTTTATTTATAATGCTATGGATGAGGCGAAAGAGTTGATTGCAAATAACTTGAGAGGAGATGAGGCAAGTTATAGAGAGATTTGGGATATCATTGATGTTTGGTGGGAGGTCCAGTTACACCGTCATCTACATGCAGCGGCGTATTATCTGAATCCTCAATTTCAATATTCAGAGAGAAAATCCTCAAACCCGGAGGTGAAGCTTGGCTTGCATCATGGCATGGAACGACTAATACCGGATCAGACCGTTAGGGAGCTTGTAGATTTACAACTTGTTCTATTTCGGAATATGGAGGAATTTTTTGGTTTGCAAGCAATAAAATCAATTATTGTCAAACGGTCTCCAGGTATACTTATTTTTGTAAATGCATAACACTTTAATATGTTCTGATTATAAATTTTCTTCTTGAAAATTATTGAATGGTGGATCTAATTTGGTGATTTCACCCCTGAGTTACAGAGTTTTGCTGTTAGAGTTTTGGGTCTCACTTGTTCTTCTTTTAGGTGTGAGTGAAACTGGAGTACATATAGTCATGTGCAAACAAAGAGAAGAAATCGACTTTCAACACTCAGAATGAACTCCCTTGTGTATATTATGCACAACAAGAGGTTGAGAGAAAGGAGCTTGAGGAACAAGGGGTTGAAGGATGATGAGAACCTATTGGTGTGTGATGATGTGGCATCTAATAATGAGTGGTTCATAGATGATGAGGCAGATTTGTCATTATCAAACTTGTGACTAAAGGATCTAAGTGTGGATGTCTTGACGGGCGAAGCAGATCAAGCGGGCACATCCACTAGTACCACACCACACACTTTCACTAGTTCTACAGTATAACAACCAAATAAAAGTATTCTACAACTTCTTATATGTTATTACATTATATTTATATCAAGTGAGAAAGTAACATGATAATGATCATTCTTATTGAACAGGGAAGAGAAAAGTCTGTCACATTGAAGATGATGAAGATATGACATTCATAGATACAATTTGAGAAGAAAATTCTCTTGAAGACTCATTTAGTGATGGAACATGATTTGATTTAATATGTTTTTTCTTATTTGTACTTTGGGAGTTTTGATAGACTAATATTTTGTGGTTCTGTACTTTTGAACATGATTTTATTGCATCTATTTTCTTACTTTTCACTAATTTCATCTGTCATTTAGATGTTTTTATTGTATGATAGAATCTTACTATTATTTACCTGCTAAAACCCTTAAATTCTCATTTACGCAATTCATCATCCGTGAGGCTTACGCCTCACACTGCCTCGAGGCTTACGCCTCGCCTCACGGACTAAAAATGCTTCGAGGCTTATTTACGCAATTTTAAACCTTGACATTAATAAATATGAAATAAATTGATTAGAAATAAAACATTATGATATTTCATTGCTTCATTATATATGACAATTCTGATAGTATGATATGATTTTAATCCTCAAAAAGAAATTGATAAGATCATAAAAAAATAATATAAACTGAAGTAAAAATGAGGATTCATAAAACAAATTCCAAATAGTTGGGATAAACTAATGATGATAATCATTACCTTCTTTTTTTTCTTCTTCAAAAACACAAAGTGCTAAAAAGTAAAAACATTAATATCAATGAAAAATAAAAAATGGAATGCTTTTATGAATGATGTGGAGGGGATAGGTTGTTGATGTTGTCAAATATACATAAGAGCCAACCTAGCAATCAACCATGAAAGCTGCACCTAATATGCCACACTGGTTACCATTGATTGGCAATGATGATGGCCTGTTCATATAAGCAAAGCCAAAGCTTGAAATTGATGTCGATGTTGGTCTCTACACTGACAAGCATATGTTAGGGATTAAATTAACCTCCCATTTAGCCATACGTGACTTTTAAGAAAAAAAGATCAAGTAAAAAGGCATAGCTCTTATGTACAATAAGAACAAATAACATTTAGATAGAATGTTTAACTTTTTTTTAAATGAGTGGCATGATAGTGATAATAATAATAATAATAATAATATAAATCTAATAAATGATGGAGTGGTTTTAAAAAGATTACAACTTTGACTATAAAATAGTGTAATATGGAGTAATGACCAAGTTGCATCAAGCGTAATCTAGAGATCCTAGTCCCCCATGTTCAAGCACAAAAATAGCCACCCTACATATGCAAGGGTAATGTTGTATGGATCAAACCTATCCTTTAATGGAGGGGACTCCATTTATTAGGTAAGTTCTTTTAGATACAATGGCAACAAAAGAGGTAGTCTGGTGTAATCAAAAAATATAGGGGACCCTATATTTTTTTATCACAAAAAGAAAATACAAAAATACCTCAAAAAGAAGAGATAACCGAGAAATTTTAGAACTAACTCTTACATTTCATATAAACGAACACTTTTATAAATAAAGACTCTTACAAACTTGACTTTCAACATAACATGACATTACAACCCTTAACTCTTACAAATGACTCAAACAAGACGACACCCTAAACTTGCTTACTTTGAGAAGAGGGATACAGGTGGAGTGGCACTTGAGGAGAGACGAAAGAGATTAGAAGCCAAGACGAAGGTTGGAAAGAGCTCGCAAGATTTCCGGAGGGGATGAGAAGGAGTGGACAAAGCTCGCAAGCTTTTCCAACGAAACCGGCAGGTTTACATTTCCAAAAATCAATCACATCACATAACTAAAACAACTCTATTTATAGGCACTAAAGAAGGAATACAAACAGCCACCTAAAAGCAATATTTAAAGCCATTAAAATAGGAAAATAGAAGGCCATAAGTCACTAAGAAGAAGACCAAAAGACTGCAGGAATTCTATAGGAAGATTGCATAGAAAACAGTGGAAAGGCTCATGGAAATCCTCCCAAACAGTCCCCAAAAAGCTATCCAAATTCTATCCAAAAACAGCCCAAAAGCCCTTCAAACAGCAGCCCAAAAATCTTCAAACAGCAGCCCAAAAATCTTCAAACAGCAGCCCAACATTGCACAGGAAACAGGGCATTAAATCCACAAGAAGAGCCCCCTGGCTGCTTCGGGAAAACAGCCCAGCTAGGGACCGGAAAACAACACAGGAAACAAGGGGTTAAGGCACGGGAAAACAAGAGCCAACCGCAGGAAACCAAGAGCCAAGGCGCGGGAACCAGCAGCCATTCACGGGAACCAAAGGGTCAAGCCACGGGAAAATTACAAAATCGGCACGGAAAAGCG